GGAATGAGCCAGTTTCCCCCTTCCCCAGTCCCCAATTCCAAACCCTCCCCGACCCCCCAATCCCGACCCTTTTTCCCCCTCATCCCAAACCTTTCCCGCTCCTCCTCCTCCCGCCCCTGGATGATGAACGACCTTCATTACCCGGAGCCATTCCCGGTTTTCCCAGGCCCCCCATTCCCAGGAAATTAAACCCAATCGCCGGGAAATTAAAGGGAATGTTCAGAAGTGCCTGGAGCTCCATTAAGGATCATCCACTGCGTTCCCTCTGGAATGTTTTCCTAGTGGGAAAAGGGGGTGGAAAAACGTGACGGAGGAAGGATTTTTCCTTAGATTATTTTTCCTTATCATTTTTCCTTATTAATTATTTTTCCTTATATCATTTTCATATTATTTTTCCTTATTATTTTCCTTGTAATTTTTCTTTATTAATTTCCTTATCATGTTTCCTTATTATTTTCCCTTATTATTTTCCTTGCATTATTTTTCCACAGTATTTTTCCTTATATTATTTTTCCTTATATCATGTTTCCTATCATTTTTCCTATCATTTTTTCCTCATCATTTCCCCTTAAATTTACTGGGATGGATTTTCCTTCTCTTTTTGGTTCGTTTGTTTTCCCCCCCCCCCGGATTTTTGAGTCTCTCCCGGATTCCACACTCCCGATTTTTTTTCTGGAAGCGTGGAGCAGAATTCCCTCGAATTCACGGTGGGGGGTGATTTTTATTTTTCCAGAGCCACTTTTCCAGGGAAATTCCCACCTCCAGCCCGTCACCTTCCCCAGGTGTCCCAAGGACCCTTGGGAGCATCCCGGAGCTGTTTTTCCCGGGAATTCGGCTCCAGCCTCCCGATGGGGCCGGGCCGGAGCTCCCAAACCCCCCAAACCCGCCCTGAGCCTCCTCCAGCCCCGCTTTCATTCCAGCCCCGCTTTCATTCCAGCCCCGTCTCTTCCCGATCAATATCCCTTTTTTTTTTCCTCACCTCTCCTTCCCTGTTTTTTTTTCCCCCTTCCCCTCCCCCCTCCGGAGCCGAATTTAATTAAATCACTTTAATGAATGTTTAATGACGTTCTTTTGTCATTATTAAATCCGCAAGAAAAGTCTCCGGCAGCTCCTTTTTTTTTTTTTTTACTTTCCCTCCTCCCCCTTTCCCTCATCCCTCGCTCTCATCCCGCTTTCCCCCCCCCCTCCCCTCCTCCCTTTCCCGGTTTTTTCGCCCCCCCCTTCCCTTCTCCCGAGTCCCGAAAAAACAGGAAATGAGAACTGCGGGCACAGGATATTGAGCTGGGCCGGGCGCGGGCCGGGGATGTCACCCCGAGCCACCCCCATTCCTGCCTGGAATACTAATGGAGCGGCCCAGACAAATCCAGGCGGGAGCCGCAGGGAAGGGAGAAATCCCGAGGTTTTGGGGACAGGTTTTTTTTTTTGGGATCGGGGTCCCGAGGGGGAAAAAAACCGGGAGCTGGTTTGTCCCTGTGGGGGTTAAAGGTGGGAAAAGGGGAGGTTGGGGGGGATTTTGGGAAGGAATTTGGGAAGGAATTGCTTCCCAAAGGGAGGGAACCTTCCGTGGGAGGGCGGGGAGGGGCGGGATGGGATTCCCAAAAAAGTTCGGGATGCCCCATCCCTGGAAGTGCCCCGGAACAGGTGGGAGCCACCTGGGCCATGGAAGGTGTCCCTGCCTTTGGAATTCGGTGGGATAATGGGAGGATCCTTAAGGTCCCTTCCCACCCAGAGCATCCCAGGATTCCAGGATTGTGCTCCAGGCACAGGCTGGGAGAGCTGGGAATGTTCCCCTGGAGCAGGGAGGGATCCAGGGAGAGCTTCCAGCACATTCCAGGGTCTCCAGGAGAGCGGGAGAGGGGCTTGGGAGAAGGGCTGGAGGGACGGGACACAGGGAATGGCTTCCCTCTGGAAAAGGGGGATCGAGGTGGATTTTGGGAAGGAATCCTTGGCTGAGAGGGTGGGGAGGGAATGGGATGGAATTCCCGGAGAAGCTGTGGCTGCCCCATCCCAGGAAGTGCCCGAGATCCCTGTGGAATCTCCCTGTGGAATTGGCACCTGTGGACGTGGTTCCTTGGTGGCCTTGGAGCGGCTGCTCCGGGTGATCCCGGGGGCCTTTCCCAACAATTCCACGAATCCCTGGGCAGGCCGAGGTTCGGAGCAGCTCCTGCCTCCTCCATCCCGCCCCGGGAAGAGCCTCTGGTTTGTTATTCCTGGCAGAACATTCCTGGGAAAAGGGATAAACCGGGATGTTTCAGGGTCCAGGAGCCCACGAGAGCTTCTGGATTCCAGCAGGAATTTTTCCTGGGATACAGGGAAGGAATTGCTGCACCTGCTCCATGTATCCCACAGCCAGCTCGGGGCAGGATTCCCACATTCCCTGCGGAAAATATTCCTTAAAATACTTAAAAGGTGTTGGATCGGCCCCAAACTGGAGCCCGGGTTTGTCCGAGCTCGGCTTTGTCAGATCCAGCGGGTGATTCCCAAACTTCCTGAGACAGGGAAAACCCATCTGTGGGATCAGTTCCACCTCCCCCTTTCCCTGGAGGTGCTGGGATTTGGGAAGGGCTGCACATTCCAAGCCGTTTTTCCAGGGAAATAAAACACCTCATTTTTGGGACCCATTTCCTCCCCTCCCTGGATCAGGGAAAAGCTTTGGGATGAGCACGGGGACGTTTCCGGGTGGGAATCCCCATTTTTCCCACATTTTTTCCCACTTTCTCCCCCTTTCCCCCTTCCCAAAAATATCCGGATCCCTCCCCGGCGACATCGGGATCAAAAGCTGAGGAAGGGGGGGTGTTCGGGAAGGACAATTCCCTGGTTTTTCCGAGGGTCGGGAGCGCCGGGAGCCTTCGGAATTGTGGGAGATTTTAATAAAGGAGCCGAGGTTGGGAAATTTAATAAAGGGCTTCATCAGATTATCCCGGGATGGCTCCGGGCCATCCCTGCCAGCAATATCCAAGTGGGAAAGGGGGGGAGCGGGGTTTAACCCCTCCAGCGCCGGAGCGGCCGCTGGAATTCACACGGAGCCGCATTCCCGGCTTTCCGGGGCCGGCCCGGGGGGGGTTGGGAACAA